CCTCCCCGCGCCCCTTCCCCCGGCCGTTCTCGGACTTCCATGGCTGGACTCTAGGGAGTCCAGCCATGGCTGAGGTAGCCGCCGTGGGTCAGATCCAAGCCGCGGGGGGAGGGAGAAAACCGGATAAATACGGATAATCCATTCCACTTGGAACGGATTAACCGGTTTTCAATGCATTCCTATGGGAAATGGTGCTTCACATAACGATGTTTTCACATAACTTTTTTTTTCCCGGAACCAATTAACATTGTTATGCGAGGCACCACTGTACTATACATGAGGGAGACTTTTACAATACCAAGTAGACAATAACAATGATTAGAATGATTACTGAATCAAACCCGGATGCATCTAGTTGAACATTCTATTTCTAGTAGTGGCCTTTTGATTGTATAAAGTTTGTAAACAAGCCCAAGGGCCATAGGCATTCCTTACAATTTGTTACTGTTTGCTCCTACAACTGATAATGTGTGAGATCTCCCTGCAAGCACTATTGATCTAAAATCTTCAACAAGAGTCTTAGGCTACATTCTGGGGAGTCAGGTATCTTTAAGCCCAATGTAGCTTATATATAAGTATACGCATAGAACATAAGAACTTAGGAAGAGCCCTGCTGGATCAGACCAAAGGCCAATCTATTCCAGCTTCCTGTATCTCACAGTGGACCCACCAAATGCCTCTGAAAGCACACGAGACAACTGGATACCTGTCTCCTGATACCACTCCCCTGCATCTGGCATTGCACTTTTAATGTATCAAGAGATTTGAACCTTACATTGTTTACTTTCATTATTACTCTGTGTTTATCAGATGTTCTGTTCTTCCTATTTTACAAGTAAGGTGTGGAGAACAAAATATAGTTGTTCAAGGCAGCAGTATGGTAAGAGCAATATATGTGTTTGTTGGACCCTGTTTAAAATTAAGGAGTTGGTTTTTTTTACCCAGTTTTAAGAACACCTTTTATGCAAAGTTAATAGGAACTTAACATCCATACTAAAAAACAAAATTTCAGCAAATTAGAAACACTCACAAGTTACCTACAGCCATAAATGATAAATAACAAACACCATACTTACTTGTCTGGGTTTTTTACCCTGAATGTTGCATTGAGGGCTTTTAACCTAGAATCTGCCTGTCAAAGGAAGAACAGATATAGACGATTTTAACTTACTTGACTAAATTAAACATTATAAACACCAACTGACAACTGCATAACAGCTTTGAGGATATCTTACGCAAATATGCGCTCTACTAAAGACAATGCAGACAGTTTAGTTTATGGAACTACAGTGAACGTTCAAAATAACCCTTTCAAAAAGTCACTTCATTTGTCAGGAAATTTTTTAATTGACAGCACCCTCATCTAAGAATAAAAATGTTATGTGCAAATAGATCATACCTGCATGTAACACAAGACAAAAATATACAGGCAAGTAATATACCTGGTATATTAATTCTCTCAAAGTGCTTCTGATACATAGGCATTTCTGTTTGGAAATGCACACAAGGCTCTATATAAGAATGATATTGGATCAAGGCCTTGCAATTTATTCCCTTCAAAAAAAATGGTAGCATTACACATGCTTTCTACAGATGAACATTAATTTAATGTGTGATTCAGTTCTGAGACAAAAAGAGCTTGACACTCCCTTCAACACTGACCTGCTCAGATACAGATGACTCCTATATACAAAAGGATGAGGTGCACTTGCAGCTGTGCTTATGACAAGGCATTCATTATGCAGAATTGTTCATTTTGTATAAAAGAATACTTAGCTTAACCAGTAGAGGCTTGCATTTCTCCACATACACCAATCACATGACTTAGCATGCAACAAGAAATACAAACTTTAACTTAACTTGTGACACTATGTGGCTGAGACTTGCATCATCTGTGTTATGTTGTCTGCATATGTATTTGGATTTTGTCTACTATATGCTACAAACACATGGTTATCATTAGTTGAAACCCCCAAATTTTACAAGTAAATGGTTACCTTCAGTTGAAACCCTGTTTCATTCACCATCTCCTTCCATCCACCTTCCTAGAAATTAAAGTTTTATTTCAACAGTTATTCTTCCATTTAAAAAAATTAAACTGAAGCACCATTTACACAACAGCACTGCTTCAAAATAAAGCTGAATGAGCTCATACTAACCAAAATACATTTAATAGCTCCAGGCAGAACATGTCTCCATGTAAAAGACAGGATTGCAAAATGATTTAAAAGCGTTATTGGCCTATGAAAGGTTTTATATTTCCATTCACAAACAAAAGTCAGCAGCAATACACAGAAGCAGCAAATAGAAAGGGAAACTGGAGGGGGTGGCATCTTTGCTTCTTGTTACAACGTTCCTAGTCTTGTCACCTGGAAACTATTTCTGTTCAGCACAGGTGAGCAACCTAGTGGTTGTCTGCTTATGTGGGACATGGAATATTTATTTATTTATTAGATTTCTATCCCGCCCATCTAGACCACGAGTCTGGGCAGTTTACAATAGGATATCTATTATTCATTTCATTATTCTTATCAAATGCAGTCCAGCCCTGCCTCTTCAGAAATCATATGCAACAAAGGAAAATCCACTGGCCTGCTGTGCTGGTACCTCCGGTCATCTACACCGGTGGTCCCCAACCTTGGGCCTCCAGATGTTCCTGGACTTCAACTCCCAGAAATCCTGGCCAGCAGAGGTGGCGATGAAGGCTTCTGGGAGTTGTAGTCCAAGAACATCTGGAGGCCCAAGGTTAGGGACCACTGATCTACACAACAGTTAATCTTTTCTGCTTCATCTTTTAAAACAACTGTAGGCAATACTATCAGAAAGATAACAGAACTGGCTAGTGGTTCCTCTTTCCCAGCTAATACTTCAAACCATATTTATTGCCATATTTGGGGGGAAAAGGTCTGAAATGTGATGGTGGGGGAGAACACTGTTTGTTTGTATGTACGTATGCATGCACGCACATACTTGTATACTACCCCATCGTGCTTGGAGCACTCTCTGGATGGTTTACAACATAATTACGCAATGAACACTATAGATGCCATAGGCTTTCAGAAACAACAACAACAACAACAAAAAGTTTTTTAGATCAAATCAAGTTTGACCTTGAACTGGACGCTAGAACAACCAAATTGCACCTGTCATCCTTTGAACATATAATGCAAAGACTCACTGGAAAAGACAGCAATGCTTGGAAAAGAAATAGCAGGAAAAGAGAAAGACATAGGATGGGCAAACTCAAAGGAAACCATATCCTATAGTTTGCAAGACCTGAACAAGGTTCTTCTTGCCAAGACTTATTCGAGGAGTCATCATAGCTCAGAAGTGACTTGACAGCACAGAACGGCACATCAGGTCACAACACAGTCCATCTAGCTCAGTAATGTCAACACAGTTTGGCAGTAGCTCTCCAGGATTTCAGATGTGCGTTTTTCCCATCCCTGTCTTAAAAGAAAAAAAAAGAACTGAGCCTGGGATCTTTTTGTGTGCAAAAGACATGTACTGTCACTAGCATTTGTTGTTGTTTAGTCATTAAGCCGTGTCCGACTCTTCATGACTCCATGGACCAGAGCGTGCCAGGTCCTCCTGTCTTCCACTGCCTCCTGGAGTTGGGTCAAATTCATGTTGGTCGCTTCGATGACACTGTCCAACCATCTCATGCTCTGTCGTCCCCTTCTCCTCTTGCCCTCACATCTTCCCAACATCAGAGTCTTTTCCAGGGAGTCTTCTCTTCTCATGAGATGGCCAAAGTATTGGA